AGTTAACTTTTAAATTGAATGTTACTCCATACAGATTAAAAAGGAAAGACTTCCGTTTCTGAAAGCCCTATTTGGATCTCAAAACATAAATGCAATCCCCTTTTTTAACTATACTCATGTCTCCCATCAAAATCATTTAACACCAGAAATTATTTTCTAAAGAAGAAACACAACACATATTTCAACTCCCACGTATAACACCACAAATTTGGTAACATCTGCATATATTCTTTAATTGCTGTGCTAGTCTGAAGTTAATTATATGAAACTGATTTTTTTTTCCAAGCACAACTTTTACAAATCACATTTAGTATAATTGGTACTTTGAATATAAATTGTTTTTAAGCTACAGCATAATGTTTGATATTGCTAATGAAATGATTTTAATGTTCAGCTGAGCTATTATGAGAAATCTTATTTTGTTTTATATTTTTAAATATAATTCTCCATTGTAGCACACTAATTAACCTGATAACTACTTTTCTTTTTTTTGAATCTTCAATATAACATTATATAAAAACCATGCAGTAAATAGCAGGAGGTATTGTTTTCATAATGCAGCTACATGTGAATCCTTCAACTACAACATATTTTTCTGCTTTGGGTACTTAATAATACTTTTGCATTCACCATTGTTTTGTGCCAAGCACAGCACCACAAACTCAATAGTGCATTAATTTATATTATATATTTAATAATCTGCATTGTATTTATTAAATCTTACCTACATTGTCCCAGTACTGTTGCTACCACCTATGTGGGCAAAGGGAGAAAAAAACTGAAAACTCAGTTCTTGCCCTATATTAGTTCATAACTAGTTGGGATGGGTGTTGACTAACAAGACCCCATGAACAATTTTCTTCCAATTTTATATTGAGTGACATTATTCTCTGCATTGTGTTGTATGGATAAGACTATAAAGATACTAGAGGGAAGAAAATTCATCGTAGGTTAGAATCATTTCAGGAGGCTTTGTGATAGAGATAGGACTTGAAATGGACATCGAAAAATTGATTAAGATTTTTCCGCTTGAAATTCTGGCTCCCAGTAGAAATGGGAGCAGTAGCATGAGCAAGACCCATAGCTCAGAGGCAAGACCAAGATTTGGAATGGGCCAGGAGCAGTGGTTCATGCCTATAATCCCAGCACTTTGGGAGGCCACGGTGAGTGGATTGCTTGAGGCCAGAAGTTCGAGACAAGCCTGGCCAACATGGCAAAATCCCATGTCTACTAAAAATACAAAAATTAGTGGGGCATGGTGGCTCATGCCTGTAATCTCAGCTGCTCAGATGGCTGAGGCACAAGAATAACTTGAACCCTGGAGGCAGAGGTTGCAGTGAGCCAAGATCACGCCACTATACTCCAGCCTGAGTGACAGAGCAAGACCCTGTCTCAGAAAAGTAAAAATGAAAAAAGATTTAGAGTGTTCAGAAGACAAAGAGACCTTCTAGGTCTCCTCAAAGAGTTTATGCTGGAGAGTACTGAGATGTCATGTTAGATATATATTATGAAGTCAAATTATAGAGGCCTAGGAATGCCAGTATGAAGTATTTGTGAAATAATAGCCACTGAACATTTCTGGATGAAGATACATTGACGCCTCACAGAAGGTTAACCTGAAGTCCAGAGACCACAGTAGATATCAGGGTCTATACAACACAAGCAAAAATAAATAAAGTCAAGCAAAGTGGGCAGCTAACATGAAGTCTGTGCAGCAAGACAGTCTTGAAAGTAAGGCCATGTCAGCTTTAGCAGAAACACCTACAGTCTTCCTTTGGGGCAGGAATTATTTCCAGGGTTGTAAGTAGGTATGCACGAATCTTTTTTTTTTTCTTTTTGAGGCAGATTCTCACTCTGTCACCCAGGCTGGAGTGCAGTGGTATGTGTAAATTAATTCAACCATTGTGGAAGACAGTGTGGCGGTTCCTCAATGACCTAAAAATAGAAATCCCATTTGACCCAGCAATCCCATTACTGGGTATATATCCAAAGGATTATAAATCATTCTACTATAAGGACACATGCACACAAATGTTCATTGCAGCACTGTTTACAATAGCAAAGACCTGGAACCAACCCAAATGCCCATCGATGATAGACTGGATAGGGAAAATGTGGTACATATACACCATGGAATATTACACAGCCATCAAAAATGATGAGTTCACGTCCTTTGTAGGGACATGGATGAACCTGGAAACCATCATTCTCAGCAAACTGACACAAGAGCAGAAAATCAAACACTGCATGTTCTCACTCATAGGCGGGTGTTGAACAATGAGAACACATGGACACAAGGAGGGGAGCACTACACACTGGGGTCCATTGTGGGGAAATGGGGGAGGGACGGGGGGTGGGGAGGTGGGAAGAGGTAGCATGGGGAGAAATGAAAGATACAGGTGAGGGGAAGGAAGGCAGCAAACCACACTGCCATGTGTGTACCTATGCAACAATCTTGCATGCTCTTCACATGCACCCCCAAACCTAAAATGCAATAAAAAAAATGACCTCAACTCACTGCAACCTCCACTTCCCAGCTTAAAGCATTTCTCCTGCCTCATCCTCCCAAGTAGCTGGGATCACAGGCATGTACCACCATGCCTGGCTAATTTTTGAATTTTTAGTAGAGACGGGGTTTTACCAAATTTGGCCAGGCTGATCTTGAACTACTGACCTCAGGTGATCCACCCACCTCAGCCTCTCAAAGTGCTGGGATTACAGGTGTGAGCCACCATGCCCAGCCTGGTATGCATGAATCTTCTACCAGAGACGTAACTGTGTTAACCCAAACGCAGTGGCGCAGTTGTTGACAAGTCCTGATATGATCAAAATGAAGTTTCAGAAAAATAAACCTGTTATTCTTAAGAAGAATGGGTTAACACAAGGTGAAACTTACTGAAATGCCAGGGTTTCAGTCTAGGTCCTACTGATCACTGTACAGATAGCCAGTCACTGAGACAAGTATTACCAGAGAAGAAGGCTTTAATCAGGTACTATAGACAAGAAGATGGGAGATCAGTCTCAAGTCCATCTTCCTGACTAAAATTAGGGGTTTATATAGCAGGGAAGAAATGTAACCATATGTGAAAAACAGTAATTAGGGAGGGTTAAGAAAGAGAAGTTGGTCAACAGGAAACATGTGGTTGGTTAGGCAGTCATGACGGGTGAAGTATCTGGTGTCTCCTTGTCCAGATGCAGTGATCTGCTAAGTTTTGGCTCCTTGATACTATCTAGAGGTTGGTTTCCTGCAAAAGGAACTCGGATATGACAAATGTAACCTTTTCAAATTTTAAGGCTAGGATGATCAATTTCTATATTTATTCTAAGAAACCACAAACGTCCGTTCTGTGGGACAATTTGACTCATTTCAAAGCTAGGTTTAGATGAGGCCTTGAAAAATAATTTCAACAAATAAGGAGTAAACTGATAGGGGCTTAGGCAAAGATTGTTATTGTGGGCATTGAAATGAATTAATACAGCTGAGAAATAATTTGCAGAAAGAAATGTAGAAATGAAAGGTCACGATTTCAAACCTGGGTAAAGAAAGCAACAGTAGTTCCATGGGCAGAAATACAAGAGTTGGAAAAGAAAATTACAGATGAAAATCTCAGTTTCCTGATTCCCTTTTCTCAATCCAGTAAAATTTGGCTGCAAATATTCACATCATATGGCCAAGGTCCACCATGCTGAATAAGACAGACCTACACTAGATCTCATGGAGAGTTTGGAGTGACATTTATTTTTTTCTTTGTCTTCTGGCCACATCAGGGTTTTAGAGTAGCTCCTGAGACATTTGTTTATTTAAGGGACTTTGAATAATTAAGGCCCTACCTACTGTTTAAATGCTGATTGAAATATACTGAGACTTTGACAAGGAAAACACCTTGGATTTTGGATGGATGATCCATGTTTTGAGTGGATATCAACGTTTCTGTTTACAAGAAAGTTCCATCTAGGTAATGCATTTGATGAAATGTTTTCTCCTAATTAGAGCTTTCTTCTTATTAATTAGACATTGTCTTACAGAAAGGTCATGCCACTAAAACAGATAAAATGGGTTGTATAGATTATCACTCAAAATGAGTTAAAATAGCAATTGTTTGGGGAAAAAGTCAAATAACGTTTAATAATAAATACTATATGTCATAAACTATAAATGCTTTATATGCATTATTTTATTTAATTAGCACATAATCCCATGAAATATGTACTTTTATTACCCTCATTTTCCAAATGAAGAAACTGACCAGAGAGGTTAAGTAAATTGCCTAAGATTATGCAAAGTTATTTAGGTATAGAGCCAGAGTCAGAATTACATCTAACATGATGCTGAAGTCCTCATTCTTAGCAGCTACACTGTGCTCATCTCTTCTGGCTTCAGTGATCAAACAAGGTGACTGAATTTTACTGAACATTTCCACACTCAACCCACAGAAGACATGATTTCTGTCATGTATGATAAAACAAGGTATATTTATATATAAAATATGCCACTGAATGTTTAGCAACCTGTGTTCTCCCATAGCTGGCAATGGTATCTTATTGTACTGGGCTCAGTTCAGTTAGGACTTACATTTCTAGAAGCTGCATATAAACATGTTCTAAACGTTTTTTTGGGTTTTTTTGTTTTTGCGCTGCCTTGGTAACTTTATCGTGAACTGAGTGTTCCGTGAGCATCCTAAACTTAAATTGGAGACATGGAAAATTATTTTACAATGAGTTTAGGAAAAGGCCAGGTATTACCAAAATAAAAGGTATAATGTTCTGAATGCTATTAAAAGCAATAACAACCACAAAGTGTACCTTTGAAAAATACTCCATAAACTAAATGAATTTTTTAAATGTGGCATTTTTCTTTGTATGTAAATAAGACTTTCTAATTCATCTATTTCTAACAAAACTTATGTTTAATAATAGACACAAAATGCATGCTAAAGAAGTAGAATTTTATTTTTTCTTCACCTATAAAACTAATGAAAAATGGTTTGTTATTTTCACAGCTGAGTTTTTATTCCTCTTGTGGGGTGTTTATCTCTGCTATGCAGTGCGGACAGTCCCATCGGCATTCCATGAGCCCCGCTATATGGCTGTTGCAGTTCACAATGAGCTCATCATCTCTGCTATATTCCATACAATTAGGCAAGTGATCTGTAGAGCTAGTAAATAACTATTTCATTTTTCTGATGTGTTGCATTTTAAATAGCAAAATTAGATAAGATGCATAATAGGCTTAGGAAATATGGCATTTTATAAGTTAATTTCTTTTACAGAGATGGAAAATTAATAGTTTGTGTTTAAAATTGTTGTCCTTGGTTCCTTCAGCTGTATTGCTTATTACTTTCCTCTATTTCGAAGGTTAACTCAATGTTATTGTATTATCTTAAACCACTTATGGAAATGTAATGGAACATTGTTTATAATATGTAACACTTCATTCTGAAGGTATAAAGCAATATGTGCATACATTGTAAAGCAGATACAGGTAACTCGTCTATGTTTTCACTCATGTTTAATGGGCTGGTTTATATTTTCAAAATCTCAATATTTGTATAGACATATGTATGAATTCTGTGGAATTTTAAACACAAAAACTACTTCAGTCTGATGACTAGATTATCATGTGCAATGGGCTGTGTCACTATCACACATTCTAGTAATGAATTTCTGGGATAAGAATGTATAGCCTGGTCCTCTATTTTGTGATCATCTCAGGTTTCTCTCTAGCAGACAAGAACGAAGGAGGAAGACAGTGGCTTATCATGAAGTTAACAAAATGAAACATACATGACTCATCTTCTCAAAAGGTGTCCCCAATTCATATTTGAAATGAAAATCTCAGGGCAGAACTAAAAGAAAGAATCCTATCATTTAAAAAACAACAAAAAATGTATTTCAATTGCTTGACAAATAGGGAAAAGTAAGGACACACTTAAGAAAACTAGAAATATTGAATATTTGTCTCTGCCCTCAGTGGAGAGAAGGGATCCCCTTCCTTGATGTCAGTTCCCTTCTTGGCCTTCAGACTCTCCTGGAGATCAGTGAGAATGGGAGAGGGGATGGGAAGAGGAGGCTGTAGGCCCGGGGGATTTTTGTAGGATGCCTATCCTCTCTGACTTTAGTCAGCAGTCAGAAGATGTGATCTTGCATCTTTAGAAAGAGATGATTCCAGACAGCAGTGGACCTCAGTTACAGCCTGCACTTCTAAAATTTTTACATAAGAAAAGGAGGTATCTATAGTCTGACAAGTCTGGAGACTCCATCGGGGGCCAGGAATCTAGAGAATTGGCCTCTTAGCTTTGTCTTGCCCTCTCTCAAGAGAGAGGAGAGAAGTTAGAAGAAGAAGAAAATATAAGAATGGAAATATAAGATTATAAGTAAGCAAAGGAATAAATGCTGTTTCAGCTAGTCAGACTGGAGTTTCCGGACCTAAGAGGGGATGCCCTCAGTCAACAATTTCTTGAGCACAAGGGAACACGTCCTCCTGATGCCCCAGCTCCAATAGCCTTGACATTTTCCCCAGACTGTCTTCCAAGAAAAGCTACTTTCTTGTTTGTTTCCAGAATATCAAGCAGGCATATTTCAAGATACAACAAACATGCTTTTCTACAACTAGTTACAGGTTAAATGTTAACATACCAACTTAAGTTAAAAAAATCAGCTAAAGAACTATAAACCATTAAGGCTTCTTGGAGATGAGTCTAAATGTCTTCTGTGGTCAAAATGTGATTATGTAGTGCAGAAGATTGTCCACTTTAGCCCTCTAATAAGCTGCTAGATTTTTTTTTTTTTTTTTTTTTGAGACAGAGTTTCGCTCTTGTTACCCAGGCTGGGGTGCAATGGCACGATCTCGGCTCACCGCAACCTCCACCTCCTGGGTTCAGGCAATTCTCCTGCCTCAGCCTCCTGAGTAGCTGGGATTACAGGCACGCGCCACCATGCCCAGCTAATTTTTTTTTTGTATTTTTAGTAGAGATGGGGTTTCACCATGTTGACCAGGATGGTCTCGATCTCTTGACCTCGTGATCCACCCGCCTCGGCCTCCCAAAGTGCTGGGATTACAAGCTTGAGCCACCGCGCCCGGCCTAGATTTTTTTAAAGAAACAAATCAATTGTCTAAGTACTTAGATCTGTTTACAGATTTAATAAATACCTAAATATCCTTTTATACCTTAAAATTTACTCTGTTTAGTTTTCATCATTAAATTTCTTTTCTCAATAGATTTCAAATTCCAAACTGGCCCAAGTTCTTTCAGGAGTAGGCATGGTAAATTATTCTGAAATGAATTTTCAAAAAGTTTAATAATAAGGCAATAGATGGTTGTTACGGAAAAATCCTAAAATGATAAAGAATAAAGTAAACTCCCTAATCAAGCCACCCAAAGATAAGTACTGTTAACATCATAGTATATCATTTTTAGATGTTTATGTCTGTTTGTAAATTGATAATACATTGTAGTTTATAGTCTCCTTTTCAGACTGTCACAGTGCAAGTTAGCATGTTGAGAAGTCGTGCTTCAAGGAAACCTACTTAGTTTTATTTAAACAGCATTTTGCACAGTTAATTGACCATGGAAACCCCCTAAACTTCACTTGACATTTGATACCAGCATCCCCACTTTTTACTACTGATTTAAGGTGACAGGAGGTATACATTACTGACTGAAAGCAACTTTGCTACTTGGCTTTACGTTTTTCCTACACAGTCCCAAGCAACCCACTGGCTCAGCCAGAAGAATCATATAAACATAAACTTGGTTCTTATAGACACACACACTGAGCGAAGGCTCCACGGTGAACCTAGTAAATTTGGTGTTGAGTACATATGATGTACTCACAAGATCAATTATCTTCCAGACAACTGTGTGGACCCCTGTTACTTTTGGAAAGGGAGAACTTCCATTAGTAGCAGTGTGACACACAAAGACTAAGTAGCTTGACGGGCTTTGATATTTTTAGCAAGCTTAAATAAACCTGAAGAGGCCCTAAGTTTTAAGTTCCAGATTTGACCTACTATATCTTTTGGCCCAGACTACATTGGATCAGACTGTGGTATATTGACTTTAAAGAATCATAGCATATATTAGCTCCCTCAGAAATTTAATTTATATGGCTATAAAGGATGAAGGGATGGATTTATAGTTTAACACAGTAAATCTGCAGAACACTGATTTGGGGGAATTAATAGAGAGCAAGTAAAAGGCAATAATAAATCAAGTATGTACAATGTCTTATTTACACATGGACTGCGTTTATACATGCAATGGTTCAAATATTTATAAAGTCCAAGAATTAGAAGCAATAGCATAATATAAATCAGCTATATCCATCTTGTTAATTTTATCCTTGAATTAAATAATATAAGGCTTTCAACATTGAAAAATATATTCTCTATCACTATAGCATGTGTCCTTTCTTATATGCTTAAAATATAAAATGAGTGTGTGTAGATATATATACATATATAAATTAAAAACTATGACTATGCATTATATACAGATTTACCTTCATTCATACCAAATTGTCAAATTGCACAAAAATAAACTAATAGCAAAGAATTAAGTCTAGAAGGATAAATAATGCAGGGGCGTTCTTCCCTGCCTGTTTTAATCCCTTATTTTTAGTGCTAAGCATAAAGCAAACCTTTGGGAAAGTACATGACTTTTAAAAGTGTGTTTATTTTTAACCTCAATTTTCAAATATTTTATGCTCCTGGCTTTCAGACCTATTTTTTAAAAGATGAAATACTCTTGAAAAAAATAAAGCTTTAAAATTACTGCAAAACCCAGTTTTTCTCAAGGTATTTCTACTCAGAATTGCAAACTTAAAAACCTGGCGGTTACTTAAAACTGATTAATTTGAGAGTGTTGTCTGTATATTTCACAGTTGGTAGTTTTATTTTGAAGATTCATTATTTTAGTTTAAATTATATGCAAGCATTTTTTCTTCTAGATATTGTCATGCTAGTTTAAAGTTTATTTGATTTGCATTTAAGATGGAATTCTCAGTATGTGAAGATCCTTTTATGAATTCGTCTCCTTTCATACAACTTTCTACTCCAGTACTGGAATGACCCCCAACAGACTGGGATTATATCATTTTTCCAGAGTGTTATATCCCTTATATGCCTCAGAGAATGTTACTTGTTAGTGAGTGTAATGATCCTATTTCAGTGCTAAAAAAAACTGACCCAGGAAAACAGACTGTATCAAAAATCTGTTTTCACAAACTTTTGTCAAAACTGGTTCAGTTTTGCAGTCATATTCAAGGTATGTATAAGGTCACTTTTCTCACAAAGAAGTTAGAGAAGACAGTTAATCAGAAAGCCCTTTTTAATGAAATGTGAGCTATTGTGATGAGTGCTCTGCACTTTATGCATGTTACAAGCCTATTTGGTTTGCATCTCTAGACACAAGGGAAAATAATTCTCCATTATGGGTAACTCCTGAGCTTTCATTTTAGCTTGATCTCCTTAGGGGAGCAGCATGGAAGTGAAAATGAGAAAGAAATCCTCTTGATGACATTATTTTAAACATTAAAATGACAATTAGAAAATTGTCATGAATATGGTAGAATGAAGATAGAAAAATTAGTTTCTTCCTACTTTAGCTATTAATATATGTTTGTTTTGTGATTATAATATGAGCATTTTCTTAGGATATTAACTTTGCAAACTTGATGAGGTTTATCATTAAAACAAAATTGTAATTCTCTAATTTCAAGTGATAAAATAACATATTTTGCTTTCATGGATAAACAATAGATAAGATCTTTATAAAAGCAACCCCTAGTTTCTGCGTAAGGATGAATCCTTAAAATGTGAACTCTGGTTTGTACATGTACCTATTAATTTTTTAAAGCATTCCCCAATTACTAGAGTAGACCTTAGTACTGAATGTCTCCTCACCATTTTTCCTGCAGAGGCATCCTGGAATACAACTTTATAAATTTCTTAATAAGATTTTTAAATGCTGCATTTTAAATTATTTCAGACTACTTGATAATTTAGAACGATTTATTTTAAAGGGTACATTTTATAAACCATTAGTATGTTTCATTAAATTGTTTTATCCATTAAATGGTTTTATCATTTCATCCTTGCATCATTCACAAAGATAGATAATTGCCCACCTTTTATTCTTAATTCTAACTAATGTTTTAAAAATCTAAGAATATCGGAACTCATAATTTGCCTACAAATTTGGATTATACATTTGTAGCTTACTCCTCTTTTGAATTTACATATGTTTACCACTTTGATTTTTAGAGGCCACTCTGCATACAAAATAATCATCTCGGGAATTATTATGCTGCCTTCTTGCTATTGTTAATCTAAAATAATAAATAATAAAAGGTTCATATCTTATGCATTGAATTAAACTTACTTAGACTTTATTCTTCTAAGATGAAAATATATGCCATAGAAATAGCAATGCAATTTCATTTTTCTTTTTCTTTAATACAATAAGGAAAATAGTTTCCAAGTAATCCTGCTATTTTAAGTAGAATCTTAATCTTGGATTGTTAACTCAATGAATTCTCATTTCAGATTTGTTCTTGCCTCAAGACTTCAATCTGATTGGATGTTGATGCTCTATTTTGCACATACTCATTTGACTGTGACAGTCACCATTGGGTTGCTTTTGATTCCAAAGGTATTCTTCTAATACTACTTTTTTGCAAGACTTATTTTAAATGAACATGGAGTTGTTTATCCTATAGGCAAAGGGAGGTATGGAAACTTGCTTAATATTTAAAAGAGTTTTAAAACTTCCTCCTCAGGAAATTGGGTGTCTGTTTTCTTTTTGGATTTTGGAAACTTCTTAAGTTTTACTTATTATACAATCATTGTACCTGTAACATCAAGATCACTTTTTAAAGGAACTCTCCTATTCTAAGAATCCTCTTGTTTGGATTCATATTCAGAGAACTCGTGTGTTTGAAACATCCAAATAATTTTTATGTAAATAGAAATAAACTATTACATGTAGAATAATCCCCATAATGATAGATTCTGACAAAGATCTATCTGGGCAGCACTATGAAATGAGGAAGAATGAGCCAGGACTCAGAATGCAGGGATTCTACCAGAAACTGGCTGTGTGTTATGACACTAGCCAGGACTTTTGATTTTTTTTTTTTTTAATGATACAATAGTAAGGCTACCTGAAATAAATAAAATAATATTGGAGTTTTTCTATGAGGGTAATGTGTTATACCAGTTATAGCATTGTTATTATTTTCCTGTTTTATGCATACAGAAACACAGTATTAGAACACTGTGAATTTTGAATCTTATCAGTGCCACACAATATAACGTTAGCACAGCTGAAACCAGAATTGTCATTTCTTGTCTTTCACTCCAGGCTTTTCCTCAACTCTCACAGTTAACCAAAACATTGAGATTCAGCCTGACTGAAAAGGCCAAATAGTTGTAAACAGAACAAGATACCTATTTTATTCCCTACTTGAATCCCTAGTTGATTACATCAACTAGACACAATTTTCTATAGATTATCTTAATTATTTTAATACTTTGCATAATATGATTACACTTTTATTAGATGGAGGTATACTGAGATCATCTATTTATTTGTTACTGGGTTCCAAAGAGAATTGAAAACATATGTTCATACAAAACACTTGTACATGAATGTTCGTAGCAGTGTTATTCATAATATCCAAAAGCAGAAACAACCCAAATGTTTTTTAACTGATAAAATGTATAAACATGTGGCATACCCATAAATGGAATATTATTTGTCAATAAAGAGGAATGAAGTTCTGGCACGTTACAACAATAAGAAGTGCAAAAGCCAGACACAAAAGGCCACATATTACATAATTCCATTTATGTGAAATGTCCAGAATGGACAAATCTGCAGAGATAGAAAGTAGATTAGTGTTTGTCACAGGCTGGGGGAAGGATGAACAGAAGTGATTGCTTTTAATGGATTCAAGGTTTTTTTTTTTTGAGATGAATATTCCAAAACTATTCTGGAATTAAATAGTGGTGATGGTTGTACAACTTCATGAGTATACCAACAAGAACTGACATGTACACTTTAAAGTTATAAATGTTATAGTATGTCTGTGAATTATATCTCAAAAAGAGAATTTAAAAATATTATAGAGGGGCATTTCTAGGCACTGTTACATATCCTTACAATAAGAGAAATGAACGATAAAAACCTGTATTCTCGTGGAACTTATTTTCCTGAGAAGGGGACGGGAAAACAGACAAGATAAATAAATAAGGTAAGTATTTGAAATGGACAATATAGGACAAATGACTTTGATTCTCAAACCCATAATTGTCTCCAAGACTTTGAGCAAGAAAAAAAATTTCATTCTTACAAATGACCTCCAGGAGGTATAACCAATAGTGTATGATATTTTGGAGGGCATGAAGTCTGTTATATTCACAATTTATGGCCTTTAGTTCATGCCATCTGTTTGTCTCACAAACATAGGTAGAAGAGTAAAAGAAAGATTCGTTTTATCAGAAAGGTTGAAGCAGGAGGATGGCTTCAGCCCAGGAGTTTGAGGCTGCTGTGTGCTATGACCCTGCCTGTGAATAGCCACAGCTCTCTTGGCTGAGCAACAGAGCGAGATCCTGCCTCTCTCTATATATAACTATGCAATATCTTACAGTGAGCTAATGTCTACAGCTCATACTGAATTTCTGTTTCAGTTTTCACATTCAAGCAATAACCCACGAGATGATATCGCTACAGAAGCATATGAGGATGAGTTAGACATGGGCCGATCTGGATCCTATCTAAACAGCAGTATCAATTCAGCTTGGAGTGAGCACAGCTTGGATCCAGAGGACATTCGGGTAATGCCAGTCATCTGTCTGTCTTCCTATTTCAGATTAGTCTCATTTATACCAGCAGGCATGTGTGGGTTGGGGGTGTGTGTGCACGTGTGTCTCAGAAAGAGGAAATGTGTTTGGGTATGAACTGAAGATGTCAAATGCAGAGTTAATCCAGTTCTAAAATAGATGAATCATGGTATCAATTAGAATGCACAGGCCATTTTAACTTTTATAGTAGCCTGGCCAGCCTTAGTAATCTTGACTGACTTAATGGCATTCATAGTGATGAACGGATTACCTGTGTTCCATAATCGTGTTTATGACATTTTGCTTATGGAAAGGTAGGATAGATCCCTGGAGCAGAGAGGAGAGCCTGGATTATTTAAAATAATCTATGACAACATATCAGCATCTAATGGAAGAAGATACTTCAATGGACTGTTGCCCTCTAAGCCTAATCTAATATCACATGTAACTTTATCAGTGGCTACCATGATGCTTCCAATACTACTCAGGGATATGGTTCACCTGTAAACAATATGCTGTGTTTTGTTCTGGTCCAGGCTTAGTCTGGTCCATACAAGCACTTTGAATGTGCAAAGCGTTCGCTCCTTGATGCAAGGTTAGAATACATGGCTTTATGTCTTAAGGTCTGCACTTTATGAGAAACAAAACACAAAAGAATCAAAGTACAAATGAGGAGAAACTTGACAAGTACAGGTGTCAGGTAAAGCTGTAGAGCAGGTGCCCTCACAAGCCCAAGTTTACTGAATTCCAGTACCATGTAGTGATCTCCTGTGACTCAAAAACTCAATTCATCACCTCTTTGAATTGGCTTTTGTTCTGGCAGGATGAACTGAAAAAACTCTATGCCCAACTGGAGATATATAAAAGAAAGAAGATGATCACAAACAACCCCCACCTCCAGAAAAAGCGGTGCTCGAAGAAGGGTCTCGGTCGTTCCATCATGAGACGCATTACTGAGATCCCAGAGACGGTCAGCAGGCAGTGCTCTAAAGAGGACAAGGAGGGCACCGACCATGGCACAGCCAAAGGCACTGCCCTCATCAAGAAGAACCCCCCAGAGTCTTCAGGGAACACAGGGAAATCCAAGGAGGAGACCCTGAAAAACCGAGTCTTCTCACTCAAGAAATCCCACAGCACTTATGATCACGTGAGAGACCAATCGGAAGAGTCCAGTAGCCTACCCACAGAAAGCCAAGAAGAGGAGGCAACAGAAAATTCCACGCTGGAATCCCTGTCGGGGAAAAAACTAACACAAAAACTAAAAGAAGACAGTGAGGCTGAGTCCACAGAGTCGGTGCCGTTGGTGTGCAAGTCAGCAAGCGCACACAACCTCAGCTCAGAGAAGAAGCCTGGGCACCCACGCACATCGATGCTACAGAAGTCTCTCAGTGTCATAGCAAGCGCCAAGGAGAAGACTCTTGGATTAGCTGGGAAAACCCAAACAGCAGGTGTGGAAGAACGCGCTAAATCCCAGAAACCTCTGCCAAAAGATAAAGACACCAACAGAAATCACTCAAATTCTGATAACACAGAGACTAAAGATTCTGCCCCCCAAAACTCAAATCATGTGGAGGAGCCAAGAAAGCCTCAGAAATCTGGGATTATGAAACAACAAAGGGTCAACCCCACCACTGCCAATTCTGACCTGAACCCAGGCACCACCCAGATGAAGGACAACTTTGACATTGGGGAGGTGTGCCCTTGGGAGATTTATGACCTGACCCCTGGTCCTGTGCCTTCAGAATCAAAAGTTCAAAAACACGTATCTATTGTGGCTTCTGAAATGGAGAAAAACCCAACATTTTCCTTAAAGGAGAAATCTCACCACAAGCCTAAGGCAGCTGAAGTTTGTCAGCAATCCAATCAGAAGCGCATAGATAAGGCGGAAGTATCCCTTTGGGAGAGCCAAGGCCAGTCTATTTTGGAAGATGAGAAGCATTTGATTTCCAAGACGCCAGTTCTCCCAGAGAGGTCAAAAGAGAACGGAGGTCAGCCTCATGCAGCCAGTGTGTGCGCTGGGCAGAAAGAAGAACTGCCCCCCAAAGCTGTAGCATCAAAAACAGAAAATGAAAATCTAAACCAAATAGGACACCAGGAAAAAAAGACATCTTCTTCTGAGGAAAATGTCCGTGGCCCCTATAACTCAAGTAATAACTTCCAGCAACCTTTAATATCACGAGCAGAGGTGTGTCCTTGGGAGTTTGAGACCCCAGCTCAACCAAATGCTGGAAGAAGTGTAGCTTTACCTGCCTCTTCTGCTCTAAGTGCAAATAAGATAGCAGGGCCTCGGAAAGAAGAGGTCTGGGATACTTTTAAAGTGTAGCATCCCCAGGAAGAGGAGGAAAAGGAAGGAACCCCGGGTTGGATGTGAGACAGAAGATGTAAGAATTTAAAAAATCCCCAAGGAGTATTTGTCAATCAAGGAAAACATGACAGATTGTGAGGTGAAGTCAAAGGCATGGGCAGAACAGGACTTGGGGGCAAGAGCAACATTATAATGGAGAAGTCAGACTTTGGCCAAGAAAGTCCTTCCCCTGGAAACACCGGGAAAATCTTTCCATTTCAGGATGTTTAAGGAAAACAGCCCACAATGTCTGCCCTCATCAGTATGTAGCCATGGTACTTTGAAGACCCTAAGCCAGGCAAAGCAGGAGGCACGGAACATGTACCGGATTTGCAAAGAAGGAAAAGGCATAGACATATATAACTGAAATTCTAAGTAGCTGACCAAGAAGAACTTATTTACCTATTTAACCTTGATAGCACTGCTAACTTAATGCATCCCAAAAATCCCTTTTATATTAATGATTGCTCTCATTTTCTTATAAATGTATGTTTCAGTACATTGTTGTGTCTCATATTCAAGCATTCCAGATTGTATAATTTTTGCAAATAACTTTGGTATTATGTGACACAACACATTTATGCAATCTGCAGCTACTCAATTGTTATTGCACCTTACAGAATACCTGCTATCTATCAACTTTAGTTGATTCTTGAAGTACAGTAAGCTTTCTCTGGCTTGGGAAGCCGTAACTGTTAGGATACAAACTTTTAGTTTTGGCTGTGGTTTATAAATTGTGACTTTGGATTTGACTCTATTATTTCACATCATAGTTTGTTACACTGTCTTAATCAGGGTTTTTTAATACAAGTTGAGTTAATTGTTTTGCACTTCTTGTTAGGACTCAGAGCTTTATTAATATTGGAGATTAAGTGGTCCTACTTAGTCATATGTCTCAATAAGTTAAGGACAACTTATTCATTGTTTATTCAAAGTCAGAGATAGATAACACCTTCATTCCAATTAATCGTCCCTTTTAACTCTTTCAGTATTTCATACTTAGCAGCATTTCCTAAGGAAGAAGCTAAGAATGAGAAAAATATACTGTGCATTATTACCACCACTGGAAAGGGAAGACTCTAGGGATGACATGAGAATTAGAGCAGTGCTACAGACCCAGGAAGTTTGCCTTTCAAAAAAAAAAAAGGAAAGGTAGCTTCTGATAGCACTTTCAAGGGATTATTTTTTTAAAGAGAAAGATTATGGTAGCATCAAGATCATTGTATGGATATATTTTTATTATGCATACTAAAAATACAGTATTTTAAAATATCTTAAACTATTTATTCTCATAAACTCTTATTCATTGCTTCAGCTAGAGGTAGAATTTGCTGGGCTCAAATCCCAAAGAGGTTTTATAACCTTACTTATTCAAAGCCTATAAGGTGGTATGGAATCTTCATTCTCCCAAGCACTGGAAAATGTCTAAGTCCTGCAAATTGCCATTATGAGCCACGTGCTCCAAATACAACATGTAAGGTCTATTTGCAAGGCAAAACAGCCCCCAAAGCATATTTTGTAAAACTTACTGCATTCCACACTGATCTCTTGGCATGGGAATCCTAAGCTGCCAACTTAGCTCTACTGCTGTGATCGTGCAATGAGATTCCAAAGTTGAGTTTCATTTAAACAAAAATCACTTAGAAATAGAACTGAGACTTCCCTTTTTCTCCCTGTGAACTCTGAAGTGTCAACTGCTTATTTGGCCAGGACACTCCCAACACAAGTAACTATTTTTTATGTCACAAGCAGCAAGGAAGACATGCTAGGGTGACAAAAGATGGGGAAACAGAATCAGAGGGTGGATATAGGGCTGTGCTTAGAGAATATTGTTTTCAGTGGAAGGTAAAAACCGAATTCTCCATATCCATCATCAAATTTTTCTCAGTGATTTTTTTATTCAGGAGTAAGTAACAAGCACTCCAGTGTTTTGCAAAGCTGTGCACAAATCTTCCTCACCCATTTGCTGGCTTTAATGCATTACTCAGGTTGGTGGGGTCGGTTTGAGAAGATATAGAAATTCTATTTTTGTGTCTTTCCACCATTTCTTTTATCCCTTCCTTTTCAGTGAAGGCCTATATGCTTGGTGACCTCCTTAAAGGAATCTTTGTGAATTGGGTTGGAAGTTCGTAGACCCACATACTCATTTATGTCTAAAATCTGTTTGCACTTGATTCGTTTTTTTTGCAAAATAGGCGGTCAAGCATCAGTGACTTTCCACTACACTTCAGGATTGATCCTGCTAGAGATGTCTTAAGAAGACTTGCCAAATTATACCTTAGCGACATTCTATAGTTCATAGATTATTCTCCACCAGCATAAATCAGTGAGAGTGCCTAGAGTCTTTCTGAGAGTTTCATTACCGCTATCAACAAGAGAAGTAGAAATTTACAAGTCAGGAGGTTATTTTTCCAGATTGATAACCATAGAAAGGGAGTAGACACTTTTAAGGTCGCAAACATTTGCTAGGTTGTCCTTCTCAATGCATGTGCAGGCTGCATCCTGTCCTTGTTTTTAAGCCAGGGTTTATAAATAAGTAGATTTATACCAATCTTAATAGAACTGTATATTTTATGCAAGAATTAACTGCTTTATGACATGAAGTATAACTCAACCCATTGTAAACTTTGGTGGCAATATGGATTTGAAACTCGACAGTTCTCTTGTATTTGCTTCCTAGGTTTCTGCATGCAAGTTATGACAGGTAGGACTGAGAAAACACTGCCTTTTGACTTCTAGCATTTAGCAACCGAGAGTCATAGAGTCAATAAAGCTGTAAGTCTCTTCACTTAATCTGTGGTTCTCCTAAAACTATTATCTGAAACCTACAGCATCCCACCATGAAATATTTGGTAAATTTACGTTGTGACGTGTTGCAGCATGTAAATAATTATAACTTCTCTGCAATAAAACATTTATATGAAACTGATTTGTGGGGATTTGTGTGTTCATCTATTGAAAATGGAGTTTATTTAATCTAACCAACTTAAAAAGAAATTCCATATATTTGTTCAGCTCTGGTATCCTTGTGCACATATATCGTCACATTGCCTCTCTATAGGAATAGGTGATTAGCCAAATGTGGCCTCAAACACACAGATAATCATTCGGAGCCAGTCAAATCTATTAGTGGTTCCAATTTAAGAAGGCTCTGCCCAAATGGGAACTAACTCAGCTGCCTTTTTGTTTGTTTACTCCATATGCAGTACCAGTAAATCTGCTAAGCAGTGATTATGCAAAGATAACCCTTTCCAGAGCAGTCAGACCCATGAGAATATCCAGTCACTAGCATAATATGCAGATGAGCACAACTAAGGTCAGAAGTCAGGGAAGTCTCTCTAAGAGAGAGTTCAGATTCACCAGGTTTAAATTCTGCAAAGGCAATAAACAGGTATCAAAGGGAAACTGTAAGGCTGCAGAAGTAACTGAGCACAGACATCCATGCCACACTTCAGGTTAACTGCAGCTTCATCCTGGAGCACCGAAAGCTATCAGGAAGCTTTTAAAAGTGGTATAATGAAGTCAAAAATTAGATCATTTTGGAAGCAGCCCTGAAATGGACTGAAATGGGAAGAAACTAGAGGCAGCTAAAAAGATTAGCGTGAGAGACATCATCAGAGAAGACGAGTGCCTAAAGAGGAGATGGAAAGGCTCCTGTTTATTTCATCAAAATCACATCTCCAGTTCAGTTTCCTATTTAGTTATACTCATGTGAAATGAAAAAAATCAGATAGATAACTATCAAATATTAATTTTTTTTCTAAGTTTGTTGACATTTTGGCTAATTTAAAAAGCTTTGAAAGCCCCCTCTGAAAACTGGCAGACCTCGTATCGTCTGTTCATGAGAAAAGCTGAAGAATAGGATCCCAGGTTCATGCCGTTGGAAAACATTGGTACTAAACTGGGCTGAGAAAGAAAGCACTTGGTGCATGCTGCAGTGTTGAAGTTTCTACCAGCTCAGAAGAGCTCTAGAAAGACAACCAGGTCTGACAAGAGGGAAGGGGAGGAACCTGGTCCCCCACTTATCCCTGTATCCCTCTTTCTTGGGATGAAGCATAGCAACTAACTGTTCCCATCTTCTCACAACATTGCCATTTACAGAATTTTCAATTATTGCTGGACTTGCCTAGTTGAACTGCCTGGCTATATTATTTTTTCATATATATTCTTTCTTCTAAATTTAGAATATTTCTGCTAAAAAAAAATAAGGGAAATCAGAAATAGACTTTATCACATAAAAACTAACACTGTAAATCTGTTGTCCTAAAACAATGCAAGTTAGTTAACATTTTCTTATTTCAGCATATTCCATCTTTTCCCCCAAAGAGTTGTAAAGACAGCAGCCAAGTCTTTCTAATTTGGGTTGTTTTCTCTTTAAACATTTTGATTCTTATAAAGTACAAGGGCAAAGTTCAAGTACCTTGTGTGTTCTAATTCACTGTTAACTGTCTAGAAGGCAGATAATGAAATGTACAAATTGGTTTTTAATTTCCTTCTCTTTCCCTGTGATGTGAAAATTGCCAGAAATAAAACTGATCAAATGAACATGGAAAATAAGGGATAAATATAGGAAGAGGCCTGTGCTGCACAGTAGTCACAATCCTAGAAAGAAAAAACAGTTAAATATGCAAATAGAAGGTCTATGCCAATCCTTGTAGAACATACTCCAATTTCAATTCAGTCATAGAAAAGAAAACAAATGCCCTCTTTTTTTGCACACAAGGGAAAGATTCATGCAGTTTTTTCCTCCAGAAATACCAAGAGGTTTGATTCTTCCATGTCTTTTGTGTTTGCTCATTGGTCCAATTCAAATTCCTTCCCCTTCTCCTTGTCCATGTGCCATGTACACTTTAATGCAGAGTGGTCATATATTTTATTGGCCAAAGAAAACCTTTGAGAGTAAAAGGGCAGTACTAAACTATACACCTGGCTGGGCACTGTAGCTCACATCTGTAATCCCAACACTTTGGGAGGCCAAGGTAGGAGGACTGCTTGATGCCAAGAGTTCAAGACCAGACTAAGCAACACAGCAATGCCCATCTCTACGAAACAACAACAATGACAAAATTAGTCAGGTGTGGTGGCACATGCCTGAAATCACAGCTACTCAGACGGCTGAGGAAGGAGGATCCCTTGAGCCCAGGAGGTTGAGGATGCAGTGAGCCATGATCATGCCTCTGTACTCCAGCCTGGGTGACAGAGCAAGACCCTGTCTTCAAAAAAATAAATTATACCTGGATAACAGTATAAACTGGGACTGTCCATGGTCACCCAGGATATTTGTTTTCCCTATTCCAAGGAGCAGCATGAATGCCCCTGTTACCTCCATGAAACTTTGCCTAATGCCCCAAGTCAGAATGAATGCCTTCTCAGCTTGCCTTAGGAATTTGCTTAAGTCTCTTACTGCACTGACTTGCAATTTAGTTAGATACTCAGCTGAGTCATCTGCTAAATTAAGAGCTCTTTTCATCTATATATCCCCAATCTCAGGCAGTGTGCTTTGCCCTGAGTTCAATAAATATTTGCCAAACTGGAATTTTTGATTACTAGTCACTGCTTAAAATACACTTGAAGAGAAAGAGAAATTCAGAAAGGGGTAAGAACTTGCTGCACCATTTCTAAAATGTAGATTAATATTGGTCTTCCACATAAATTCTGGCAGTTTCTGGGAACCCACAGAGTGTGACTGAACCACGTTAATTCTAACTCTCCAGCTACGTAACGTAAGTATTAGTTTGCCACCATAAGGAAAGAGAAGCTTAAGGTTCTGGCCATGGCCCAGTTGGTTAGAGCTATAAAAGATATTCCTATATGTCATAAAAATAAGAAATATTGCATTAGGCTATAGGAAATTCAACTTGCTTTTAGTTATTTGAACTCTTTCTGAAAAATAAAGCTTGGCTGAGTCTATATAAAACATCCACATAAAAATAGACTCTGATGCTTGACTTTTGGTGCTTCTGAGAAATGAGATACTGTGAACAAACTATTTAGAAATTTAGTTGACTTGAGAATTTCTTATCCATATGTTTCATGTTATATAGAAGTTGTCATAATATGCTTGCATATAACCATAAGTGTTTCTTGTGTCAACAGAAATATATGTTACATGTAAATACATATACACATATCACTTGTTGGAAATTGGGAAAATATTTAAAAAGCATCTAAATTTGGCACATAGTACAGATATTAAAAGATCATGGAAAATATTTTTTTCTTTTTACATCTTAAAGACTAATAGCAATATGCACATATAGTGAATAATTTACAAATTTGTTCCCCTGCCTTTTACAATACTCGCTGCTTATAGTAAGTTGAGGAACTTAGATTAATTATTGTAGTCCTTCGACAAAATTTGATGTTGGAACCATGTAAATAAGTAGGTATTAAACCAGAGTCAAGGGGTGGCCAATAGGGGGACTACTTTCTGACACATGAGAAAACTGGAAATAAAGTCTTATAAGAAAACCTAGGGACAAACTTAGTTTGGGGGCCACTTGAATGAAAGGGTCAGCAGGTTGACGATCCTGTAACCATTTGCTGGAACATGGGAAAGCTAGAAAGGTTGACATTCAAATATATAATAGACACTCCTCCTCTTTACAGCCCCCAGTAAAGAAGCAAAGGAGTCACCCATTTTCTCCACTCTGATGGTATCCTACCTGTGCAGTCACCTGCCACTGTACACCTCCTCCAGTGGTGAGGGACCCAGGAGGCATGGAAAAGCCAAGACAAAGCATATGTCTTCCCTTGCTTTGTGTACCCACTTACTTTCATTAAATTTCTATGTCTTTCACTAATTGTAAAAACATGGGCCAGGCCGCAATGGCTCACGCCTGTAATCCCAGCACTTTGGGAGGCCAAGGCGGGCAGATCACCTGAGGTCAGGAGTTGAAGGCCAGCCTGGCCAACATGGTGAAACCTTATATCTACTAAAACTACAAAAAATTAGCCAGGTCTGGTGGTGGGCCCCCATAATCCCAGGTACTCGGGGTGCTGAGAGAATTATTTGAAGAGAATTATTTGAACCCGGGAGACAGAGGTTGCAGTGAGCCAAGATCACACCATTGCACTTCAGCCTGGGCAACAAGAGAAAAACTCTGTCTCCAAAGAAAAAGTATAATAGAAAACATGAATTAAAAACACACAGAAACAAAAATCTAAAACACAATGTAAAAAAAAACACATAAGTTTGGAGATATTTGATAGAAGTTTTATAACACATACAAGTAGTGGTAAATACTACTGAAAAAGAACAGTAGGGTCCAGGTGCTGTAGCTTACACCTGTAATCCCAGCACTGTGGAAGGTGGAGGCAGGAGGATTGCTTGAGCTCAGGAGTTCGTGACCAGCCTAGGCAAGATGGTGAAACCTTGCCTCTACAAAAAAAAAAAAAAAAAAAAAAAAAAAAAAAAAAAAAAAAAAAATTATAAATTACCCAGGTGTGGTGGCTTGCCCCTGAAGTCCCAGATACTCAAGAGGCTGAGGTTGGAGGATTACTTAAACCTGGAAGGTTGAGGCTGCAGTGAGCTATGATTGCACCACTGCACTCCAGCCTAGGTGACAGAGTGAGACCCTGTCTCAAAAAGTAAAGAAAAAATAAAAACAGAGGATAAAAAAAATCAGATGTACAAGACCTTGTTTTGAAATTTGGTTCTACCACCAGATATGTCTGGTTTGGAAAAGTCTTCAATTTTCCGTATTTACATTTCTTCACCTGAAGAAGGAAAGTTTTGAATGAGATGGCATCTCAGAATCTTTCTCATTCTGTGATTAAGATTGTGTGTGTATGTGTGTGTGTGTGTGTGTCAGACTGAGTATGTGCTTGCTTAAGCTTGTCTGTAAAATTTCACTTTGCATTAAATTGCTTTGTTAGAATGGATATAGTCATGCAACTTCTTAAATGTATAGTCCAACATTTGG